ATCGCATACATCGCTCTACGGGGCGCTCGTTGTGCGAGGCACCACTGTATACCACATTTCTTCCCCCTATAAGGGACTCTAAGGTGAATGTCTCATTATATGGGTTTCAAAGTAAAAAATATTCAACAGTGGTTTCTCATTGCCTTCTTTTGTCAACTAACCAACACTGACTGACAAAAGTTAACTCAAAGATCCTCCATCAGTGTCACCTTCCACTATAGCTGCTGCCCAGTAGCTGCCTTCCAGGAGTTTCTCTGTCCCCTGTCACCACTAGAATTATCCAGTCAATTTTCATAGAATTATAGAATAACTGAGTTGGAAAGCGCCTATAAAACCATCAAGTTAAACCCCAGGTCGTTAGCACAGTTTTGGCTGCCGTACAGCAGTTTAACCACGAGGCTCTTGTGGTTAAACTGCTGTACTGCAGCCAAAACTGTGCTCACGACCTGGGGTTCAATCCCAGGTAGCCGGCTCAAGGCTGACTCAGCCTTCTATCCTTCTGAGGTCAGTAAAATGAGTACCCAGCTCACTGGGGGGCGGCAGCAATGTGTAGCCTGCATAATTAACTTGTAAACCGCCCAGAGAGTGCTTGAAGCGCTATGGGGCGGTATATAAGCAGCACGCTTTGCTTTGCTTACATGGCCATCCAAGTCAAACTAGATCTCAATGATATATCATGTACAAATACATGAAAGCATTTCTTGGGCTGGAGGGAGAGTTGATCTGGAGTTTGGGGGGCTTGGCACCACCAATATGCTGGTGACACCCATCTCTATTTCTCTTCCCTATCTGATTCCAGGAAAGCTATTTCAGTCCTAAACTAGTGTCTGAGGTCAGAGGTGGGATGAGAGTAAATAAATTGGGACTTAGTCCAGAAAAGACAGATGTGCTCCTAGACAGTCAAGAGGAAGATCAGAGGGAATAGAGGTCAACCTGTGCTGGATGGGTTCCACCCCTCCTGAAAACACGGGACAACAACTTGGATGTGCTCCTTGGTTCATCCCTGAATCTGGATGCCTGGGTCTCAGCAGCAGCCAAAGGTGCATTTGCACAGTTAAAACTAGTGCATGAGCTATGGCTTTTCCTTGAGATGTCTGATTCTGGCCATGTTGACACATACCTTAGTTACGTCCCATTTGGACTACTATAATGTCCTCTGTGTGGGGCTGTCTTTAGAAAGTGTTTAGCAACTTCGGTAGGGTCCAGGATGCTGCAGCTGGACTCCAGCCTGGAGAACAGAAACTCCTTATTACAAACAGCTTCACTGGCCACTGGTCCATTTCCAGGCACAGTTCAAATTGCTGGTCTTAACAATAAAGTACAAAACACCATGGATCCAGGCTATTTGGGAGACTTCCTCTCACCATGTCAGGCTCCTCTGTAGGCTTTATGATATTTAGGGGAGGCTTTTCTCTTGATCTCCCCCACCTTCACAGACATAGGAAGAGGGCCCTTTTCAGTGGCAGTTGCCAGGCTATGTATGGAACTCCCTTCCAGGAGAGACCGGGTTGACTCCCTCCCTCTCTCTCTCTCCCCGGTCCTTCCACCAGCAAGCAACGACCTTCATTTTCAGACAGGTTTTTAACAGGCAAGCTGTTGTTGATGAAGGGACTTTAAAAGAAGAATTATTACTTTATCATTTAAAAATGTGTTTTTAACTTGTTTTATCACAGCTTTAGCTCCCTGATTATTTAATCTAATTAATCATTAATATGATTAATTTTTTTAACAGCATGATTTTTGTATTTGTAATTTTTTTCGTATCAGTATTTTTCATTTGGAAGCTGACTAGCATTCGTCTGCAGGGAGAAATAAAATGAGTAAATAAATATTTGCCAAATATGCTGTATTTGAACCATTCCACTGCATTACTTTAATAATAACTGTGTGCTATTAAGTCAGTTCTGACTTACGGCAACCCCTTTCAGAGCTTTTTAGGTAGATAGTACTCAGAAGTAGTATATAATTCCCTTCTTCTGGGGGGCACCCTAGGACTATGCAGCTTGCCCAAGGCCATACGGGCTGGCTATATTCACAGGAGGCACAGCAGAGAATTGAACTCCCAATATCTGGCTCTGCAGCCAGATTTTCACTCACTGAACTATCCAGCCAGCTGCATTATTTTACTTTTTAAAAGCTATCAAACAAAACAAATAGAATCTGCCAATTAAGTGCCTGGGAGAAAAAGACATCTGGATCTTGACCAGTAAAATGAATGAAATCTACTACTTTCTTTTCAGTGCTCTGCATTAGGGAAAGTACGCTTGGAGAGTGCAGATCTTCTAGAAGCAGGAGGCCTGCCACTCCGTGACCCATCTGCCTTTCACTTTTTGTGGGTGGTGGATTTCCCTCTTTTCCTCCAAAAAGAAGAAAATCCTGCAGAATTAGAGTCAGCTCACCATCCTTTCACTGCCCCTCATCCCTCTGATGAGCATCTTCTCTACACAGAACCTGCAAAGGTGATCACATATGTTTTTTTCTTGGCCATCTTTACATAGGGGATAGAAGAAAGGCAAAACAATTTTGGTGGGTGGATTGTTGGGTCTGTTTTGGTGGATTGTTTTTATTTATATTGTTAAAATGCCTTTTCCTTAGAATAATAAGTCCCATGTACTAATGGTTTTATTTTAAATGTGTTGTGATTCAAAGATCTCATGATCAAATACAGTGGTACCTCAGTTTACGAAATTAATGCGTTCTACGGGATGTTCTGTAATATGGAAAATTCGTAAACCAAAACACTGATTGCCATAGGAACTGGGGGCGGCGCTACAAATGTCCAGGCATAATGCATCCTAGAGAAACTTTCTTCGTACTCTGGAAAAAATGGAAACCAAGGCATTATTTTCAATGCATTTTGCTTCCTAAACCGAAAATTACATTAACCGAGGTGTTATTTTATTAGCTGTGCTCTCAATCTGTGGAGAAACTAGATACAAATTTGAATTTTTTTCTGATATATAATTCAAAATCTTCAGCTTTTTTGATGTTTTCAACATATGTATTATACACAGATGCTTTCCTGCAGCTTGAAAATGCACTCCACTAGAAATTTAACAGCTAGAGAACAAAGGAAACATGAAAATGTGTAGTATCATGAAATCCCACATCTCTCTCTCTTTTGCCATCCCACTACCATTCCCCTATTTGCTTGTTAAGATGTACAGCTTCTACTTCTAAAAATTCCCATGGGTGTGTGTGTGTGTGTGTGGGGGTGGAATATCTGTTATACATTATTGCAAAGAAAACAAATAATTTTGTGGCCTCTCTGGAAACTAGCTGGATTGGAACTGCCTGATTTTAGCTGCACAGGATTTTGCCTCAGCAAACATTTTATGCTTTCAGGAGGATTGGCACAGGAAAAACTATACCCCTTTAAATGCATAATATGCTATCTCCATTCATTGGTTTGATGCTGAGTACGCTCATGAGGTGAACCTCCTCACCCACAAGGAGATGCCATAGTGTCTTTCTCTTCTTTTCAGGTCCGTGGCCAGCACTATGATCTAGTTCTGAATGGTAATGAGATTGGAGGAGGCTCCATTCGCATCCACAATGCAAAACAGCAACGCTTCATTCTTGAGGACATACTTAAGGTAGTAGCAAAAACAAGCTCACTTTCTTTTTAACTTAAGTATGGCATGCTGTTTCGTAGGTAAAGTAAGAACCTTCTCCTGCTTGAGAAACTGTATGGCAGACAAAGTCATATGAGTGTCACAGATTTGCACAGAGAGTGTGCCGTCCTAGAGCACAGTCAAAAGCAGGAACTGTTAGATGACTTCTGAGTACTTTATATGTAAGAAACTTTGGCTAGGATCTCATAAGTTGGAATTTACTTGACAGCACATAATGAAATTAGCACATTTGCTGTGAGTGCATTACTAGCTGACAAACATTACATGTAAGTTGAGCAGCATGTGTAGTGAATGTAGTTAGACCTATACATAGAATATATAAAAGCACTCCATACTTTCAAATGTGAGTGCTGTATCTCTAGCTAGCTTGCATTATCTGTGTACACCTGACTTCTGATGATTCTTGCATGCAACCTAACACTGGGTTTCAGTGGTAAGGGGATTTCACAGCCTTGCCATTTACCATTAAACGCTGCTAATTGTAGAGTAATTATCAGTTTCCACAACAACTTCAAAGTGTCAATCCAATATGATCTAGAGTAAGCTGGAGGATAAACTCAGACTTGCCAAAATAGTCTTTTGTCTGCTGGACAAAGCGCATGCGCACACACCCTGGCTGTTCTTGCAGTTCTCAAGACTCCCCCTGGCTCCGTCTTTTTCTGGCATAGGTGAATTGTTGTGTAGAGTAGTGGCTTGTCCACTAAGTGGGAAGGGTGTAAGTGCAAACAAATAAATAATTGCACCTCCTAGAAGGCACCAAAGTAGAAATTCACTTTTTAAGCAAGTTGAATCCCAAAGGCTATTTTTTTTCTGAACAGGACACCAGTGCCTAGCCATTGCTGACTTCATTGGGAGGGATAGTCTGCATGCCTCTTGTATTTATTTATTTGCTTAAAATATGTTTAGCCTTCCTTCCTCCTTAAAAAGGACCCAAGGCAGCTTATGTCATTAAGTGTCCTAGAGGGAGCAAACTGGCCCCTAGATCTACCTGTCCCTGGCTGTGTTGTGCTTGCTGTTTACGTTAGACTTTTGTTCCAGGAGGATACTGAGCTGCTCTCGCATCTTCTTGAAGCTCTGGACTGTGGAGCACCACCTCATGGAGGAATTGCATTAGGTCAGTGTTTGCACTTTCACTTTCAGGTTTCTATTGAAATCTTCCACATACAATGGTGCCTCGACTATGACCTTAATCCGTATTGGAATGGTGTTCGTTAAGTCGAAGCACCATTTCCCACTGAAAACCAATTAATCGATTCCAGCTGAAGAAAAAAAATCACCAAAAAAAGAGAGAACACAGCAAGCCCACAGAAGGCACTGGGGCTTTAAGAAAAAAAAAAGAACTCCAAAAACAAACAGCAAAGCCACCTGCGTTGCTGAGGCAAAAAAACTCCAAAAACAAAGTCACCAACAACACAGCACAGAAATATACCCTCCCCAGGCAGGACAGTTTTTAAAAGGAGAAAACAGCAGCTTACCTCCCTGTAGACACACACACACTCACTCACTCCGAAGCAGAAGGCTCTCCCAAGCCTCTGATGATGACGACACACTCTCAAACTGCCGAAAGTGAAAGAGCTACAGTACAAATAAGCAACCTTGTCGCCACCTATAGTTAGAAATTTGAATTGCCCGCCTTTCCCCCCGGCCTTTTTTCCTGTTCCTAAGTGGAAGCTCTGTTCGCAAGTCAAAGCAAAACGTTGTGAATGGAGCTGTTCATAAGTCCAAATGTTCGTAAGTAGGGACGTTCATAAGTCAAGGCACTACTGTACAAACTTTATATATCTTTGTCAGTGTGATACACTGTGTTCAAATCCAGGATTTGGCAGCTGATAGTCTCAGGATGAAATCATGTTACTTCACATCCTTGTCTCCCCCAATTGCAAATTTAGCAGGAAAAAAAGACATTAGTTGCAGAAAATTGGTTGATGGCAGGGGTAGGGCATCAAGCCTTTCATCAACTCAGCAAAGTGTTATTTTTATTTATTTATTTACTTATTTGATTTATACCCCGCCTATCTGGACTACCAGATAGAATTAGTCGTAAAATAATGACTAAGGGAAAAGATCTACCGTATTTTTCCACGTATAGGATGCCCCCATATATAAGACACACCCCTTTTCTAACCCAACATTTCTTCGGAAGAAAGTGGAGGGGAAAATCAGGAATCATCAAAGCATGTTGATGCCTGCATTCCCCTTCCACTTTTTGCAAAGTGGAGGGGGAAATCCCCCTACTTCCATGTATAAGACAACCCTCAATTTTTAATCTAAATATTTTAGACAAAAGTATTGTCTTATACTTGGAAAAATATAATTCAGCATGCCCCACTACCAGTCTCCAAGTCAAAGCAAATCAGCCCCCAACGGTTGACGAAGAGTGCATATAGAAAACCATCAGTCAAACTATCACATTACTGTATTTTTTTCCATGTAAAAGATGATACTTTTTCCCAAATTCATTGGAGGAGAATTTGAGGGTTGTCTTTTACACAGAGGTAAGCCAAGGAGAAAACCACACAATAGCAAAACTGCCTTCCCTATGCTCATCAGTGGGGTCTGGAGGCACTGCTGTGCCAGAATCCACCCCCTCCGTTTCTGCTTCTGCCTCACACATCTGAAGCAGCGGGTGCTGTTCCTCCTCACCTGCAAGCGGATCTGGAGTAGGGTATGCATGCACACCGGCTGAGATCCTGCTGCCCTTTGATCACTGCTTTTCCCCTCCACTTCCACAGCCCATTAATCCTGCTTTCGTGGTGCTTAGGAAGTGGAGGGGGGGAAGGCAGTGATCAAATTTTCTTATTTGGGGTTGGAAAAGTGGGGATCATCTTATACATTGGGTTGTCTTACACACAGAAAAATACGGTACAACTACTACTTATAAAGCCACTACTTAACTCCCCCAGCTAATCTGACTTGGGTTGGATCAGGACAGTCTCTGTTGGCAAGATACACCTGACTTAAAATAAATTGCCCCACAGTATTTCCTTCCCTTCCTCACTGCCCGCCACCAGAGCCCTAGGAGCTGCCTGAAAACTGTGTAGAGGGTTTCCCAATCTCATGGACATTTAGGGAATATATATGGGCTGCAGTGGACAGATTTTGTTTTTCTGCCACCTTTGGCTCCCTCCCTCCAACCAGCTGGAAACATGTTCCTAATCAACTGTTTTAAGATTTGACAATATGACTAATATTAGTGTCCTTCTCTTCCAGGTCTTGACAGACTGATTTGTCTCGTAGTTGGAGCTAAAAGTATTAGAGATGTCATTGCTTTCCCCAAATCCTTCAAAGGAAGAGACCTGATGAGCAATGCTCCAGATTATGTTACACCCCAAGAGCTTGAGCCTTATCATGTCCAGGTTGCATGGCCTTTGACACAAGTCAAAGTCAGCTCTAGTTAAATACAACTGGCTAATCTTGCTGCAGACTATATTCTGTGTTTTCCCATTTCTGAAGAACCAAACATAGCTGACAGCCAATCTGTCAGGCATCAGCAGCTAGTGAGATGGATTTGTTTTATCATGGGTTACTTCTCTTAAAGAAGAAATGTCTTGCTCTGAGTTAAAGCTGGCTTGACTCTGTAATCTGAAAGTCAATCAATTGGAAAAAAACTTTTGATGTTTTGTTAGTTGTACGAGGTGTGACTTCTGATTTAACTTCCCAGAATGGCTATTTTATATATTTTGAATTTCACTTCACTTTCCCTGGGCTTAATTTAAGCCCAAATTGTGAGTCTGAGCAGATTTTAAATTGAAACAAAAATATTTTTTTTATTGAAAGTTAGTAAACTGCTTGAGATTACATGAATTATGTGTCAAATTTTCTACTAGACCAGACCTGAGCAAAGTGCGGCCCACGGGCCACATATGGCCCGCGAGCTGCTCCAGTCCGGCCTGCCCGTCGCTGCTGAGTGAGCCGGAGCTCCGGCTCCCGTTACCCAGCACAGCAGTAAGCAGAACTCACACGAGATCCGACGCTGGGATCCCGTGAGTTTTGACTGTTACTCTTGAGCCACGAACTCACACGAGATCCAACGCTGGGATCACGTGAGTTTTGACTGTTACTCTTGAGCCACAGGCTGCAGAGCCTGCAGCTCAAGAGGCCAGAAGCGATCCTTGCGCTTTGACGTGATGACCCATCACGTCGCCTGCGTTGGATAGAAGACAGTTGGAGAGGAAGGTCACGGGGAAACGGAGGACAGGTAAGCTCTGTGTCTGGGGTTTTTTTCTTTGCCCCCTGCGGTGAACAAATTACAACGTTCACATAGTTAACTCCCTAAAGTTTCATTTTACTTTTAAGTAAAGTTGGTTTGGCCCCCGAACACAGTTCAGATTTTTCATGTGGCCCCCTATAGAAATTAATTGCGCACCCGTGTACTAGACCCAACTCTCCTTGCTACAAAGTAACTTTTATATAGTCTATTTGAAATCCAAACTTCCTTTGTTAGTTTAATTCCTCCTCCAGCTTTTACATTTCTTGCTGGCCTCTCTGGATTGGCTTTCCCTCAGACTTCCAGCCAATCGTGTTTTCTTCTGTTGTTGCTGGGCAAAAGAGGTAAGGGTTTCAATCACACCAACTTCCAGTGGGAAGATGTTATGAAATGTGGTTGATGAGGCCACGTTCTTAGTGGAGTGAGCAGTGACGCTTCAAATCAGCCTTTGAACCGAAACTCAACACAAATTCAGAAACTGAAACTGGTTCAGCCAAGGCTGGTCCTCCCCCCACTGCCACCTGATTGGCTGATCAGTTCTGCCTGTGGAAACAAGTACAAAGGGACAACCCATCTCTTGAAGATGTCCTCCTCCACTACAGGAAAATAGCAGTAATACCTGTGAAAATAACTGAAGTTTAAAATGCCGTTTCAGAGGAGCATGAAACAAGATACAGTGCACCCACAGAAATCAAGGTCCAAATTTTGAACTGTACATTGTGCTGCTTATATACATTGTCTATACAGAAGGTACTTTAAAATTATTCAAAACCTATTTGTATTTAACAAATGTTTTCATTGACTTGTAATAGTTGGGTTCTTGCCTGCTGGGTTTTGGTTGAGTAATATCTAAGTTTTCCTTTGGGGGCGAGTGAAAGATCAAACCATGGGAAGCTCTTCAACCTATTTAACCATAAAATATTATTATATAGGAATACACATTCCTATATAAAGGACCAACTTCACAGCCCATTTGCACCTATGCACAAGTGCACCCACACGAGTGCTGTTCTGCCCTTTGCACATGCGAGAGCGCACTCATTCATGCATGCATGTGCATGGGGCTGCTCTGCCTTTCCCAGCCAGTCCGCAGGGCTAAACAGGTTGCGGACCACTGCTTTAGGTGCAGTAAATATATTGTTACAGTACAGATCCTGTAGGGTAGGGGTCCCCAACCCACGGTTTGCAGCCTATGCAGGAGCGGGCCGGGGACGCATCTGCTGTCCGCACAACACTCCACAAGTGTGCCGCACCCCCCCACATCTGCTGTCCGCACAATGTGCAACACTCCACAAGTGTGCCGCACCCCCCCAACTGGTCCGCAGTTCAGGACCACTGCCATTGGGTCTTTGCCAGCTTGTGAGAAGCTGAAGTCTCCATGTATTAAGCTTATAACATAGCAAATTTGACTGCTCGATGCGTGGACTACTAAAACTGAAATAGTCGTTGAGTCGACGGAGTTGGGTCAAATTCATGCTGGTAGCTTCAGTGACACTGTCCAACAATCTCGTCCTCTGTCGTCCCTTTCTCCTCTTACCCTCACACTTTCCCAACATCAGGGTTTTTTGCAGGGAGTCTTCCCTGGGAAAAGTAGACTTAACCACAAAAGTTCACATTAAAATATAGCAGTTTTTAAAGTACCACAGAATTTTTAAAAATTTGTTTTGGCCTGTTTTGCAAGCAAATTAAAACAGCTACTTCTTCTAAATCCTGCAACTTTGCTTGTGTTAAAGTACCACAGAATTTTTTAAAATTTGTTTTGGCCTGATTTGCAAGCAAATTAAAACAGCTGCTTCTTCTAAATCCTGCAACTTTGCTTGTGGTTTATTTTTACTACATAACTAAGGTAAGATTGACAAAGCTTGGGTATATTTTGAGCAATGTGCTTACAATTTTCTTAAAAATAAAACATAACAGTTAAGAATGTGGCTGAATCAACAATGATCTCATGGCTATACCATAAAAACCAAGATGACTTGGAAAAACTTTCCAAAGATATATTAAAACCCAGTGTAGCGTTCACCCTTTGTTAGGTATAAGTCATGTATTATTCATATCTATGCTAATGTGGTTGAGGGGCAGAGCCTGAGGAGAGTCAGTCAGGAGTGAGTAGCGATTGAGTTACTGGTTAAGATAGAGAAGGTGGGCTGAGAGGAGAGTCAGTCAGGAGTGAGTAGAGATTGAGTTACTGGTTAAGATAGAGAAGGTGGAAATTAGACAAGAGAATAGTATGTACATCTGAAGAACTTCCGTGATTATTAAATTGACTTCACTGTAATAAATACGTTGTTACATACAGCACTGATGTTACCTGTCTGTCATGGGTTTGGAGGGAAAGTTGTAAAAAATACGTCTTATTCGCATTCACCATATTGGTATGCGTATCAACATACAGATTGTGGCTGCTTGGTAGAAAAGTCATTTAATAGTTGCATGAAAGCCTCTTCGATATACATGTATATTTTGAAGTTGTGCTGTAAAGGATGGAAGAACGTTTATCGCAAATAGAATAACATGTTAATTATACCTAGACTTGCCTTTATAGTTGCTAATAGGGGAAGGGCTTCTATGACATATCTTTTTTCTGTAACCTATGTTTGAGTTTATGGGTGTGTTTGAACACCTTTCTGAGTAATCTGATAGACAGATTACTCAAACAAATCTTAACTTGCTAATGGGTTCAAACATAGGTCACAGAGAAAATGTGAAATGCCTGAGAATTCACCACCGATACAGCTGTTGTCTTATGAATCATTTTAGCAAGGCCTGCCAAAATTTGGGATTAACAAGGAATCCGTCCCAGAAAACAGTGGGCGGCCATTTTGAAACCACCAATCAGCTGTTAAAAAGCATTGCTTTGCTTTCCCAAGCTGGGAACCGATCATGGCAAAGCAAAATTCTGCCAGCCAGCCAGCCCCAGATACCCGGCCTCCTTG